TCTATTTTTACAAGAGCATGCTATCCAAATGGTTACAGGTTTTTAGTTTTATTATTTTAGAGTCAAGGTCTTGCTGTGTTGCCCATGCTGGAGAGCTGTAGCTATTCACTATAATCATAGCTCACTGGGGCCTCAAATTCAATCCTCCTCCCTCAGCCTCCCAAGTGACTGGAACTACCATGCCCAGCAAAAATGGCTTACATATTTCATAACACCTGAAAGCAACAGAAAGAAAGGGAGAATCCCTATGATTCAGGAGAGGTAGCAGGGTCACAGTGGATGAGGAAAGGCTCCAGGGTCTGACAGTACTGTTTCCAAGATCCCCCTGCCACCAGCTTCCTGTGTGGTCTTGAGACAGTACTATAGGTTTAACTTCTTTGTGAAATGGGGAAGCCACTGGCCCTCTCAAAGGTGATCATGAGCAGATGATAACAGCATGCAAAAGGCACCAGCACATGGCAAGCTCACAAATCTTAACTCCACATCCCATGTGGACGGCCCACCCTGGAGGACTTACCTGACCCTACCAAAGCAGAAGGCACATGGCCTCAGTTCTCTTCTGGTTGCCATAAAGACATGCTTGTATACCAGCCTTTTCAATAGAAGGAGCTGTTAAAAGCCTCATGCAGTGGGAGACTTGGGACAATAGTAAATCACTGGTTCCCTTGAGAAAAAGGGTTAACTAACACCCTAAATAACACTAAATTCTGAAGCAGACTTGGTATTAAGAGCTTAAACTCTCCCAAATAAGTCATTTTGGCTAACAGCATGTGTAATTAAAGTTAAAAGCATACTAAAATAACACTTTAGCTGTTGACCTTAAAGTATCTTTTGAAAAGCTTAACCAAAACACTAGCACAAGAAGGAGTGGCTTGACTTTCATTGACTAAAGGTAACACCACACGGCAACAATGCATATAGCCTTCTGCGATTCAGATGAAAGCACAGATAGAATGTCAGAGTTGAGCTACACTAAACATAGATATGTCCAATTCTGTTTTACTCAGTAGGGCTTAACTAGCGAAGAAATTACATTTATCTCAGTTTGGTCACTATAACGAGATAACATTTAGTTGCACTGACCAATCCAAAACTTCAGTTTCCAGGTGATTTGGAAACCCCACCATTCAGGTTAGATAGCTCATGCCTGTAATCCCAGCATGAGCATGAGACTCCAACTCAAAAAAGAAAATCTTGCCTGAGCCCAGTGGTTCAAACCTTGTCTCTACAAAAAAAAAAAATTAGCCGGGCATGGTGGCACATGCCTATAATCCCAGCTACTCAAGAAGGTGAGAAGGAAGGACTGCCTAAGCCCAGCAAGTTAAGGCTGCAGTAGCCATGACCATGTCACTGCACTCCCTGGGCAACAGAGTAAGACTCTGACTCAAAAAAGAAAAGAAAAAAGAAAGAAAGAAAAGAAAAGAGAAGAGAAGAAAAGAAATACCACTATACATACAACAGCATTACTCAAAAGTTCATAGTGCCAGGCACACTGACTCATGCCCATAATCCCAGCACTTTGGGAAGCCGAGACAGGAGGAATGCTTGAGCCCATGAGTTCAAGACCAGCCTGGGCAACACAGCAAGGACTTGACTCTATAAAAAACTCAAAAAAAATTGGCAGTAGTGGGAAACTGCCAGGGGAGGGGGCAGGCATACCTCATCAACAAGGGTACCTGCATAATAAGCATTTGTATACCTAACCCTGAATTGTATCCCACATATTTAAAATTATAAAAAAAAAAACAAACTCAGGCCTGGCTCCGTGGCTCAGCCCATAATCCCAGCACTTTGGGAGGCGAGTGACTGCCTGAGGCTGCAGGTTCAAGACTAGCCCAGGCAACTTGGCAAGACCTCATCTCTACAATAAACAAAAAAAATTAGCTGGGCATAGTAGCATGCACCTGTGGGTCTGGCTATTTGGAAGGCTGAGATGGAAGGATCACCAGAGCCCAGCAGGTCGACACTGGAGTGGCTGTGAGCGTGCCACTGCATTTCAGCCTAGGAGATGAAGTGAGGCTCCAACTCAAAAACGAAAATCTCAAAAAATTAGTCAGGCATGGTGGCACACACCTTTAGTTCCAGCTACTCGAGAGGCTGAGTGGAAGGATCACCCAAGCCCAGAAAGTTGAGGATGCAGTGAGCCTGGACAACAGAGTGAGACCCCCAAATCATAAAAACAAAACAAAAACAACTTCCTCCCCCAACACACACCCACCCCCATCTCTCTCTCTCTCTCTCTCTCTCTCTCTCTCTCACACACACACACACACACACACACACACACACAAACCAAGATTAGGCTACAGTTTTTTAAAGAAGCAAACAGGCTGGGCTTGGTGGCTCAGCCTGTAATCCCAGCACTTTTTTTGGGAGGCCAAGGTTAGTGGATTGCCTAAGCCTGCCGGTTCGAGATCTGTCGGGGAACTTGGCAAGCAAGACCTTGTCTCTACAGTAAATCAAAAATTAGCCGGGCGTGGTAGCACGCACCTATAGTTCCGGCTATTTGGAAGGCTGAGGTGGAAGATCACCGGATCCCAGCAGGTGGACGCTGCGGTGGCCATGGGCGCGCTACTGCACTCCAGCCTGGACACCAGAGTGAGACTCCAACTCGAAAAAAAAAAAGAAGCAGCAAACAGTAAAACATTGATCGCTATTATTCCTACAGTGCATCTCATTAGGGAAGGCCCTCAATCTTACAGAGGGCAAAAAGCGTCAGTCCTCTTAATAGTGACCCACAGCAAGCACTTAAATGACCGGATTATTGGTGGTGAGCGAAGCCTTCTGGCTCGTCACACAGCCCCACTTTTGCTCTCACTAGTCTCTAACTTTCAAGAAGCTGAAAGAAAAGATTTGACAGATAATGGCACAATGTGTTTTCAGAATTAATTTAGCAAATACATCATACAACATAACAAGCTATCTGCAAATCGCACTTCCATGAGTGTCACTGAACTTGGTTTGAGTGTAGATATTACATCTGCATCTACATTAGCTGAGCAGCTACCTATGTCTCTTTCTTCTTCCACTTCTTTGCAGAACAGCATCACTGTACTGATAATTCAGCTTTGTCCTCTAGGTATGTACATCGAAATAACTTCACAGGGTGCAGGAAGATGTGGCCAGCAACAGCAGGAACAGAAAGTGGTCTGTTTAGTTTTAATTCAGTGCTCCTGTGTGCAAATCAGGATGACCTCAGCAATCTTTCATCTATCAGAAATCCAAGAAGGGTCAGAGCCTTCATGGGGAACTCATTGAGAAATTCCTTCAGCACAACTCATTCTGTGGTATTTTACTGACACTCTGCCTGGTAGGGAGGAAAGATACCAAGCAGCCTTGAGTTGGGGTAATTTAGTTATTTTGTAATGACAATCACTGAATTAAATAACAATTCAAGAGGGTCAGGGAGATGGCAGAGCACAAGTCCAGACCCAAAATAAGTAAGTGCTTATTCAAGTGCTATAAGTAACAGCTTAATTCAAACTACCAAAAAGTTGTTTTTAAAGCCCAGTGGCAGCACATTATACTCGGAATGTTCAGTAATAGAACCGATAATACAACAGTGTATGGGTACTTTATTTTTAAATGTTGAGGATAAAACCTGTTTGGTATACTCTGAAGCTTTACTGAACTTGAACTTATCAAACCAATAAACAAGGAAAAAGTACAGCCCTGGAACACAACAGAGCAAGGACAATCCTGTGTCATCCTTCCCTGTATTTCCTGTGAAGAACTCACAGCACTATTTTCAGTCTCACTTTGACAGGATGCTCAGAGAGCCATCGGCCACCAGAAATCACAACATACCACATCACCCCCTTGTGTGTAAACAGGCAATGTTAGGTAGTGCCTACTATCACCCAAGACTATTCTGCTAAACATCACTTTGTAAATACACTGAACATACACCAGTCATGAACCTGGTATCAAAAGACAAAAATGTTCATGCTAACAACATCAGACTATTGTATTAAAGCCCTATTATTTCAAGATAACAATAAAGTTTGGAAACACAGGCAAATGTTTTCCAATTTTTACTATACTAAGTGACCCACGAATGCCAGCTCTTGACGAGCTGAGAGAGGTAACCCATAACCCCGGAATGATTCCAACATGAGGACATACCACCCCCTCACACCAAACTGGTGCAAAGCTGGATGAAGAGTTCCAAAGAAGGCAGCACTGTGGGGTTGGCTTTGGGCTAGCGGGACTGGGCCCCCTGACTGCTTCTTCTGGAGGAGAATTTAAGCACAGATTTAGTCCATGAAAACCAGGCACCATCACAGAGGCGCACGCAGGGATGGAAGAAACGCTGCATCCTTGTACCACTCCACTGAAACTTTGCACTCTGTACTGCTCTTGAGGGCTGACATCGGTCATGTGACAGCCACCGACCACTGTTCTGACAGATTCCCCGAACTTCCACACACTTGGGGTCATCATATGACACAGTGAGGCTAGCATATGTTCTGAAAGCTTGCCATATTAAGGTACTTCCACCAAACTGAGGCTGACACTGCAAACCCTGGCTGAGAAGGGCAGCCCTCCCACAACCCAGGAGCCCTGTGTCTGTGTGGTTTAACTGAACCGCACGCCCAACATTGGATTACCAGTCAACTGCTGTATTTCCTTACAGAGCAGAGGCTGTACTCCTCAGGACCCTGAAAGGGCCCACACGGGAAAGCTAACCTCCCATCTTTCACGCTCCATTCCAAGGGGGAGAGGAAGAACTTGCACAAGTTGTCTACTCCCTTTTTTACTTTATTTCATTTTTTGCAGAGACCGGGCTCACTATGTTGCCCAGGCTGATCTCGAACTCCTGGGCTCAAGCAGTCCTCTCGCCTCAGTCTCTCAAAGGGCGGCGATGAGGCGTGAGCCCACGCACCCGGCGAGACCTCCTTTTTAAATGAAGCAAGTCTGTGGCTTCACCAACCGCCCAGAACCACACAGGCCAACAAAACACTTGCTACAGGCATGACCACCTTAACCCAGAGCTGTGCTTCGGCCACCAAGGCCAGCCTGGGCCAAAGATTAACCTGTGGTCCCGGGCCACAGGTTCACTGACAGGGCCAGTCCTGGGGAGAGAGGGCCAGCTTTCTGTTTGTTTTAAAGGAAATACTTCCTGGCACACGTTGAGGACTCTGAACTCTGCACATGAAGCCACGTGGTCGGGCTGAACCGGCTCCATCCAAAGCAGCGTCGGGC